AAATCAAGGCTACGAAAAAGGTGATCGAAGCTATTACGGAGGGAAGACGAATTGAAAAACCATCCGGAGTCATATTTTGATGCGTCTCTGAAAGGGGAACAGGATTTTAGTTGTAAATTACCGGAGGGGAGCCTGACACTAACTTTCGTCCCTCCTCGCTGAGGAGGAGGAGGGACGAAAACTAATCAAAAATCGAAACTGGAAGGAGTTTCACTCAAGGGATTAAGGATGAAAGTCGTTAATTTGAAGGTGTCTGTCACATAAATTTCGGGTGTAGTCTGTTACCCGCGTGTCCAACAGATAGTCAACGCCCTGCTGGCATGATAAATGGATTCGGTTAAAGTACCCGGGCTCTTGCATCACGTCGAGTTGAGGCCGATAATAGCAACGATGGAGCAATGACTATTATTAACCGACTCCCAAATGGATCGAAGATGATTTTTTGAAAACGGAAAGAGCTGATAATCTTAGACACGATGGATTGGAAAGTCAGTGGAATGAACGCTATAATTAAAACTGTATGTAGTGTGCATGTTGAAATTCACTCGATATGTTTTTTAATTCTTTGTTTTCATCGGAGGAGAATTATCTGTTTCATATGATTAAATATTGCATCTAATCTTAGTGCATATTAATTGGATTTCAGAAATGATTCAGTTTATTTTTGAATTTTTGACCACCATAAAATGTGTTAAAGAGAGAATAAATTGAAATTTTTTCAGAAATACTTAAAAAAAAGGTAGAACAAAAACTGAATCACTAAAGAAAAAGTTCGTTAGTATGCACTTCGCTATAGAGAGGTTATTTTACGGAGAAAATCGTGAAATGTTCAAGGTTCCAGGAAAAAGTTCGCTATATAGAAAAATTCACAATATAGAGGTTCGTTATATAGAGGTTCGACTGTATATTATTGATGATACACATTTTATCGCATTTTAGTTAGTTTTTTCAAACTTGTAAAATTTTCAACATGAGGAAGGAATAAATGCACTTAGGACATTGTTTGAGTTCTAAAAAAGGGGAATAACGCGATGGAGACAAAAAAGAAACGTGGGACATATTCGGAGAGGAAGCAGAAACAGATCGAACATGTCAAAGATGACTTCTGAAATTTTGCATGGGGGATTTTTTCCTGTAAAAGAAGAACCCAAATCAGGAAGACCCTCAGATGTCAATGATGAAGTGTTATACAATATGATCAGGACACAGATCCCACGTTAACTTCCACAGAAGTGGGCTTCAAGCTTGGATTTCATCAGACTACTTTGGACTATATTAAGGTATCCGAATACGCGTTCGGAACCGTGATTTTGCAAAAGCGTGTAAATGGATAATATTTATGATATTTAGTGTCACTTATATTAGAAAACGTATATAAAATTGTTTTAAGAATATTATTACAATAAAAAATTATTTAAGTACAATATTTTGACAAAAAATGAACATAGAATGACCCATTTTCAAAAAACATTCTCCTTTTATGAAAAATACTTCTATTATAATAATATTTGGCCTGTATATAGCTCAGATCTCTGTACAGAGGCTGAACAAGAATTTTTGAAATATATAACTTAGAAGTGGATTTATCCCTATTTTACTACAACAGAGGGGAGAAATTTTAAGGAAAAAACGCCGATTATTATATATATATATATTTCAATGGGTAGTAACTAATAAATGTGAATATAGTGTGAATTTTTCAAAAATCCTTGTTCAGATTCTCTGGAGAAGTCTTTACTTTATATAAGCGTGCGCGAACTATTATTATTATTATTGAAGCATTTCTTATAAAAGGCGAACGTTTTGAAAAAAAAGGTTATTCTAAGTTAATTTTTTGCCGAAATATTGTATTTGAATAATTTTTTGGTTAAAATGTGCTTAAAACAATTTTATACATGCATTCGAATCTAAGTAACACTAAATATCATGAAAATGATCCATTTATGCGCTTTTTTAAAATCACGGTTCCGAACATTGTCGGATACCTTAAAAGGCTTGGTTTTGTGTCTAAACTCTCTGTTTGTGTGCCACTCGAATGAGCGAAAAAAGTTTAATGGTCATAATATCGATATGTTCTTTAAATCGTGCTCGTCATAAAAAAGAACCGTTTTTGTACCACTTGATGACTGGAGATGAAAAGTGGATAGTGTACAAACACGTGGGTAGAAAAAAGTATATGTTTACAAAGGGGAGACACCACCATCCTCATCCAAAGCTGTTGTGCACCAGAAGAAGGTTATGTTACGCTGTTGGTGAGGCAGCACGGGTATAGTACATTATACCTTCTAAAGAAAATGAAACGGCCGTAACTGTTCGGAACTTGATGTTTTGAACACATAAATTGAACACATAAATGTCCATCTTTGGCCAACAGAAAGGGTATGATCCTTCATCACGACAACGCTAGACTACACTTTGCAAGAAACACCGCATGAAAAATTGTATAGTTGGGTTTGGGAAACTTTATCTCAGCCAGCTTATACTTCTGATACTGTACCATCTGACTATCATCTGTTCAGGTCACTGCAAAACTTTCTTGATAGAAATAAATATATAAAATAAGAGGGTGACCAAATGGCAGTGGAGGAATACTTTGGTTCTAAAACTGAGAATTTCTTTTCCAGGGGACTAGATAAGCTGCCAGACCGCTGACAGACAGTTGTAACCAACAAAGAACATTATATATTAGATTAAATTTTAAATGAAAAGTGAAACAATTGTTGGCTTTTTGTCTTTTAGGGAAAAAAAACGGAATTTTCCCTTACAACCACTATCTACCTAATAAAAACAATGAGTTATGAAGTTAATAACTCGTGCAATTTTTTTTAAAGTGAAACTAATGGAAAAGAATGAAAAAGTAAATTTGTCATCTATGGTAAAATTTCCACATTCAAATGGATTTTCAAAACTTGCTGTAGCACACACAAAGTGCAACTGTCTTTCTCTAAAAGAGCGCCCTTTCTCTGTATTTAGTGCCCTCGGTAGCCTGATGATCAAGGTATTGGATCGTGGCTGGCATGTCACGAGTTCGAACCCAGTACCACTAAAGACCCGCCGTGTAGGGGGGCGATGCACGTTAAATATATCGAGAGCTCAAACGTCCTCCCATTGGTGTGGTGCGGTCTTTAGGAGAATTGGGTGCCAGCTCAGGTGTCGTCTTCGTCACTTGACCATTCTTTAAAAAGACGAGGTCTGTCGCCAAAAGCTCTCACGTGGCTAAACAGTGCGACGTCGATATTCACTCACTCACTTCACCGTATTTAGTCGAAATCTCAACCAAGCAATTAGATACCTTGCATGTCAAACATTTCCATTTAATTCTCGAAATGCACTTCTGAACCTCAGACATCCGCTTACGCAGTTCACGTCTACAAAGAACTCCCCCATTCACAGTAAATCAACATCACCCAACGGCCATGAAAACGTAAATTTACTTAACGAACCCGCCCACCCCCGGCACTCAGAAAGCTTTTATCTGCTCTCTCAAAAAACAATCAAAACTGACGATTCAAATAAGGCATTTTTAATGAAGCTATTACTCGAATCTAAAATGGAGATTTTCTCTGTTGGAATAACAATTACGTAACGTGCGACTCCGCCAGAAGCTGCTGGAAGTGTCAAACGCGACAGCCACCCCTGATGGACATTCATAAAGGGCAGCCCAAACAAAAGAAGGTAATCATCTTCTGCAACGGAGTGCAGCGATCTCATTGTTTGTACTGATAATTAAAGGGACATCAAAAGAAAGTCTCGTTACTTATCATGGCTGTGGCATCCGGATTACATTCAACCTGCCCCCCTCCTGACCCTACTAACCCCATCACCAGAGAATGTTTCGGTAATTGTTCCTAGCGTTAAGACAATCGAAGATGTTTGAAAAATAACCACCATTTTTTTAAATGCATGCAATTCAGCGGAGGAAGATGGTTCTCTTTTCTCTCGAACAATGCCAGGAGGGAAAGGGAAATTAAATTCTGTTTCTCGATTAAGAAAGCTCTATAAAATGTAACGCGAGGCAATAAAGGAGTCTTTATTTAGCGAAATGTATAATTTCGTCAGATGTACGGTCGTACGTGATGAAGTGCTCGAAAGAAGTTCTATTAGTGTGTGTTTTTGTGTAAGGTTCAAGTTCCTTTTTTCCGTTTCTGAGATATTATTTTTATCCATTGAATTACCTTTCTTTCTTTTTGTCTAAAAAGACCCAGATATTTCTTAATATTTCCTCTTGGTTTTGAAGGAAATCTTAGATATTTCTCAAGATAATTTTTTGAAAAAATATTTATTTGAGCAGTGAGCTATTTATAATAGAAATCATAACCTTGAGGTTGTTTATTTAATCCAACCGTGCGTTCGAATTCTTCTTTTCATGAAAGACCCATCACGTGGAGGTAATAATACGAGTTAAATCTGTCACGATGTGATAATTTGGAGAGGGCGATGTGCCAGCTTGAATATCGTCCTCGTAACTAGACCGAAGTTAAAAATTACGAGACCCGTCGCCCATTATCCTCAATAAAGGCTGGATGAGAGAGCGGTTTTTTATGGAGAGAGAGAGGGTTGGTTTGTGGCCCTAAACCAGGGATATTCAACCTACGGACCGCATATACGCTCTGGTCTTTTTTGCTTCAAGGCCCATTGCACTAAGAAATTTAATTACTTAAGAACAATATACTAAAAATTTGACCAGAAATTCTATCAATTATCAATTCTATCAAACCTATCAATTTTGCTATAAGTTTGCTTTTTTTCAATTCAATCTATTAGAGCTCACACTTTTCCCTATATGTATATATATCTTGTTCACACATTTTCAATCGTTAATAAAATACTTTGTATTCATCCACTCAAGTTCAAATAAATTTTTTTAAAACTTGTAATGGGTGACACTTGATGTTAATACAGTTGTTTAAAATATTAATTCATTCATTAAATAAAAATAAATAAATAGTAACAAAAATAATAAACCAACACCCTATATAAAAAGGAAAATCGCTCGTTGTGTCCCTGTAGCGCAATGGATAACGCCCTGGACTTTTAATCCAAAGGGTGTGGGTTCGAGTCCTACCTGGGATGACCTAATTTCTGAGAAAGTGATTTCTCTTTTTACTATACTATTTTATTGGAATAATTAAATTTAACTAATGAATAAATATAAGGTGACCACCGTCCTCGTTTTATAGGTTCTGTCCTTTCTCAAAAAGTGTCCTCCTACTTGTCCTCCTTTTCAACATTTTAAAACTGATGTGTTAATCTCTGTATTCAGAGATGAACCAAACATGTTTCCAATACGTCGAAGAATAGTCTGAAACCAATATCACAGGAAATAACATTTTTCAATGATGTTTTTTTAACTTCATCCCAAGTAAATTGGGCAGCTATAGAAAACTGTGTTGATTTTTTATCAAAAGAAATGCCTGATATTAAAATCGTTAACAATGGCCTGTTTGTAGAAACTGGAAGAGAGACTGAATGTATATTTAAATTATAATAAATTGAAATAATTGGAAAATTAACATGCTGAAATTGATAAAAGATGGGTTGAAATACTTAACTATTTCAAAAATGAACACATTCCATATGAAAATTTAGTTATTCTTTTTGAATTTACGTTGTGCTGCTCTGGAACTAATGCACCAGTAGAAAGAGTCTTTTCAGTTGGTAATTTTTGGAAAAGTGAGAAATCAAGATTGAATGTTGATATTTTAGCCGCAGTACTTACAATAAGGATGAAGGATATTTTTTGCTCCGAAATTTCCGATATATTAGAAAATAATTAATTGACAAGGAAAAAAATTCATTCAATGAAAAAATACTCGTTTTAAGTAATAAAAAGGGATGTAAGCATAATTAGCGTATTTTTGATTGAATTAATAAAATGTTTCATATATTTAAGTTGTAACATTTTCTTAAATTTTTCGTCCTCATTTAAAAAAAAAAATGGTCACCTTAATAAATCGTAACAAACAAAAATAACTGTTCAACACCATATATAGAATAGAAAATGTGGAAAATTGCACCGAAAATTTTGATTCTGTCATATGTATATACATATTTATATTAATTATTATTTAATAAAAAGTAACTATATATAAAATAAAATGTTTCTTTGTTGACCTAACAAGGAATTGAGAGAGAGACATAATTTTTTTTTCCATTCCTACACTATTATATATATATAGTTCACACTCTCTATATATTTATTTATTTATTTATCTTGGTGGAATTTTCAATCTTTAATAAAATACATTTTAAAAAGCGTTCAATTGAGCTGAAATATTATATACATGATTATTTGGATGACAATACAGTAATTTAATTATAATTAATAAAAGTTAATTGATTAAAACTAATTATTTAAAGAATTACAAATACAGACCCGTTGTCATCATTTTTGTCGATTTAGCGACCCTTTTGGCGACTTGTGTCAAAACTTGGAAAGCTTTTTTTCTCATGTTTTAAAGCATTCAGTTGAAATGAAAAATTTTCTATACACGATTGTTTTGGATGACAATACGATACTTGAATGATAATTAATAAAAATGAATGACCACTTAATGTTGTGATTCTGTCCTATGTATAAACATATTTATATTAATTGTAAGTAATAAAAAGTAGCTAAAATAAAAATTTTCTTTGTTGATCTAAGTAGGAATTGACTTAAAATTTTTTTTTTATATCACTTGTTATGTTACTTGTTTTATAGTAGAATGTAAACAAGAGGCTTGGTCATGGGTGAAGGGAATTGAAACAACCCCATAACTCATTAAAATACGTATAAAAGTAAATAATTTTTTGTGTGTTTGATAGAAAAGCTAATATAGTATTAGAGAAAAAAAACCAAAAAATTAGTTTTAATATTTTGATTAATTTTGCTCTTCATCCAATGTTGCTTTGAGCTTATAGTGTCCCCCCCCTCCATTATCCTTATCTTCCCGCCCGAGTGAAATACTTATATATATCTAGCCCGGAGTTAAAAAAGATTGAGTACCCTTGCCCTAAACACTTTGGGTGAGCTCGGTCCCTTTGGGCATTCCAACAATAGCCTTTCCTTGCTTTATACTGTGAAGTTAATACAAATAAAATCGAAACTTGATGGAATTTAACCAATCTTCTTTATTCCAAATAATGTTTTGTGGAAAATTCGAATATGTGACCTACAACCTTCTAAATAGTAGTTCTATTAACGAGGCGTGTGTGTGTGTTCACTATACATTATCACATTCTATAAATTTAAAAGAGAATCTTTTAAACCTTGTCAAATTTAATAATGAGAGTTACAATATCGAAAATTTTTGTGGAAAACTTGGAAACGTGAAAGGTGAATGTTTTCATGGATTTTTAAGAATTAACACTCAAATACATAAAATACGTTTATTTTAGTATTGTAATAATAAATCATAGTTTTGGAAGCGCGGTGGAAAAAATTAAATGATCTGGAATTGTTAAAATTATAATAAAAAATTACAAAATAAAGTGTTTGACAATTTTTTTTTAAAAATTGACATCGCAGTGCGCAATATTTCTAACGAGTTTTTATAATTATAAATTACCGCTAGTAAATGCTGAGTTTTATCTGCATTTTTTTCCCAAGAATCAAATTTTACCGTTTTAAATTTTCACTTAAATGTATTTCTCAAACGTAAGTGTTCCCACTTATTTTAAAATTTATATATTATATAGGAAATATGTATCATAAAAATGTAATTTTTTTCCAACTAATTTTATATGATTTGAATGTGAGAAAATATAAAAAGAGAGAGGCTATCGTATCTAAATCATAGAAGAGTTTGCTTTAGAACATCATAAGTTCTTTGTGTGTGACACTTATGACATGAATTAAGCTGGTTGATAATTATCAGAAATTATGTCAATGTTGAATCTTATTCATTTATGTGTGTGTATATACCTATACATACTCTTAAAAGACATTATATTATAACCATCTGCTTAATATGAAGTAGAACCATTTTTTGCCATCAAAACCATCAAACATCCGCGGTGTTATTGACTAGACAAAGTGCTGATAGGTAGTTTGAGGTATCTAGTACCAAACATTCACCAATTGCTGCTGCTATTTCCGCACATAGTGAGATGATAACGGAGCAGCACCTATTCGATTTTCCAATTGGAACAACATTTTCTATTAGAATCATGCTAAGTAAATTCTGAGATCTGGACGTGAAATTCTCAAGAATGTTCCCTGACGATTCAGCTCTTATGATACATGCACTGACCCAGTGCTTCTCACGACCCAATTTTCATTCATAATTTTCATCACCTCTCTCCATACAATAACAATGCATTGAAGGCATTAATAATGTACTTTGACTCTAAATCTGCAATTCCACCTTAATTATAAACCGTACGAATTATCAGAATAAGAATTAATTTTTATATGCTACTTTTAAGTAATGGAATTACTGTGTAACGTTTCCCTCCTAATTTTTAAATTGGAACAGATTGAAAAGTAATTTTGAATTAAATTAAATAATTTTTTCCTCGATCATCCATTGCCAAAAGTACAAATGCCATTAGAAAAAATAGTTTAGTCTCTGTTGCTCTCTGTCTTATATCCATCATAACTGATATCAACAAAAGTCTTTCTTATACTATTACCCTTTCCAACATCTTTCCTTTGGGAAACCGGATTTTCTGTGGTGGCTGCTTTAAAGACAAAATATAAATCTCAATTAAATATAGAAAAATAACTTAGAATGTTAATATGTAATACTAAGCCTTCCTTTGAAAAACTTTGTTCTACAAGATAAGCCCATGAAAGTAACTTGTAATTACTAAACTTATTCTTAATTGAATATTGATAAATTACTTATCAAACACACTGTGCATTACTGATGCATTTATAAGTGCATTATATCAGTGAAATGTGCATCGTATTTTTGATTATGCCAGAATGTATATATTGTTTTTCTTCCTTTCAGTAAACTAATATTTTAATTTGTTTAAATAGTTTTTTATTTTTGACTTATGAATATGCTCACGCCCTCCACGTAGGGTTCTCACGCTCCCCTAAGGGGACTCACCCCATAATTTGAGAATCACTGCACTAACCTGTTTGTAAACACCCACCAAGAACACTGTTACCATGACGGGGTGCATTTGGTGTGCAAGGGTGTTTACATAGCATACATATGTCAAAATTGCTCTATGTGTGTATAATGGATCCTAAAATGTGCTCCATTAAATCATCACCCACACTGTAATACCACTTCCACCACCTTTTATCCTGTCAACTTTACATACGGCTGCAAGTGCTTTCGTTGGAAATCGTGGTATTTGCACTCGTCCGCCAACATGAATGACCAGAAAACGTGATTCGTTGCATCAGGCGACTTTCTTCCATTCTCCTATGGTTCAATGTTATTGTTCCATGGTCCGTTGCAAGTTCTGTTGGCGATGACAGCGCAAAGACGTACTCGGGGAAGGTTGCGCAGGACCACAGGCTTGAAGACACAGTTTCTTAGTCGCCATTGTTATATTTGCTGGTGTTATCGACTGTCGTAGAACTTCAGTCATAGCGAACAACGCATAACAGTTTCTACTCTCTTTAGGAATAAATGCACGGTGACCGATGACTTATAGCTTTATTGTCCATGTACCACTTTCGATAAGTAATCACAACGTCTGCACGTAAGCAACCCTTTTAACACGTTGATTCTGAAATTCATGTTCCCAAACACCGGGCCATATAAATTTTATCCTATGAATCAGCTGCTTTCCTATTAAGTCGCTAAATACACTCACTTCCAAAAGTTAAGCACGAAGATGTAAAATGCAAAAAAATCAACAAATACTGCTTTGATTGACACAACATTTAGCAGTAAAGTAGCATATATATTTATACATAAAACAAAATTAATAATTATATACAGAAATGAAAACAATATTAAATTTTTGTAAGTTATCAGATGATAACATACTGGAGACTTAAACAAAATTATGTATAAAGTGAAAATAAACAGAATAAAATGAAAAAAAGGACATTAATAG